TAATAATATTATAACACTAATTTCATTCAATTTAAAATTTACTTATCCAATGAGTTTTATTTTGTATACCTACCTATTTAATATATTTATAATTGATATCCATTTCATAATGAAAATGTGAATAAACTAATTTTAAAAGCTAGTAGGTATATACTCATACAAGATAGCGCTTTTTAACTAAATTCAATTCAATAGGTTAATTAGGTTAGTATTTAATATTCAGAGAAGCTATTTCTTTTAGTTTTAAACAACAACACTTATTATGAAGGTCAGTGACACAAGTTAAATAAAAAATATTTTTTGTATTTGTTTTATAAATTTTTTCAAAAACACTGAAATAAAAATATCAATTAAATTTGTTTTTTTTAATAATAAATGAGTATCTTAAAATCTTTAAACAAAAATATAAATTCTATATCATTTTTCACTAAATAAATTTTATCAATAACACTACTTATATGCAGTTACAAATTTATAATTATACTTTTTTTTTTTTTTGTAAATCCCTAACTATTTTGTTTATAAAATCTCACTTAGTTTATAACTTACTAAATGAGTTTCTTAAATTGTGTTAAATTGTATCTGATAAACTATATACTTGTATATTATATAGCTTGTATTTCACGGTAAAAAATCCTTAATTATTGCATTTTGATTACTCTGTAGAACTAAAGTCAACATGCAATTCAAGCACTTACATTTTTCCAAGTCCTACAAAATCAACGATAAACCTGTTATTATTTCTCATTAAATTCATTACGGTTCACCATTTGTGAACTGCAAAAGGTATTATTTTTATTTAATCACTCGATTAATCCGAGTTGAGCTTTATGCCATACCTACATAATATACAGACCATGTGTGATAAACCTGGTATAGGTGTGGTTATATCATTCACAAACAAATAGGTAGTAATATACGTATTATATTCGAATGATGCACTAATTTTTAATTTTTGTTAAATTCGTGTTAACATAGTTGTATCATGGTAAAAAAGTGGAATATTATAAATAGATAATTGAATATCTACTTCATATTGAGTTTAACTTTCAAAATAAACTATACAAATTTGAAATTTTGTACTCCAAAATGTACTCAATAAAGCAACAAATTCACAGTACATAAAATTCTTCCAATTTATATATTTTTTTCACTTCCAATGAATTAAAACAATATAGGTACATATTAACTAAAAAAAAAATAACTATATTTTTATTTTTATTTTTTTTTTTGTGAAATTATTATGATAAAAAATTTAAATTAAATTATTGCTTTTACTAAAATTATAGATATAATTATATATACACACACTTATAAACATAATAAGTTTTTAATAACTAATTAACTGATATAACTGAATAATTTCTATCACTATTAAATGCATGTAAAAACAATAAACGATTATGATTGCTAATGTACTTTTCGTAGATTCAATATACTTGTATAATAGACGTCATAACATTACCTATGTCCTATATATTTCATTTATGAGTGCAGTATAATATTATAATACTATTATTAGCATTTAGTTTCTATTCATTGTTCATTAATATTTAAATGAGAACCTTGTTAAATATTAGAAAAGACTGTCTACATTTTATTTATTTGGCTTTTACATTGAGTTTAAGTTATTAATTTGCTATAACAACTACTCATAAAAATATTACTCAAAGCCAATTCTACTCACAGTAAGTTATAAATATAAATTTATACGGTGCAGATGTATTGTCTATCTTCACTTGAATAACTATCACTGAGATTCTATTATGAAATTATTATATGTTTATACGTACGTTAAATTTTAAAAGCAAATACATCGGTGCTTGGTAAAAACCAAAAAGAAAATTTTATCCTGACAAAATAAGTTTTATCATATTTGATCCATATTATAATATTTAAAAATTAAGTGCTCCACTTCGAATAATAATTGATAAGATTCCTACCGATGTAGAGAGACGAGAAAAATAATGTTTGCCAACAATGGTACAATATTATTGTCTTCAATGTAATATATTTACTTTAACAGTAAAATATTTATTAGATATTAGAACAAACAAGTTGAAAATGAACGCATTTACGAGTATATTATATAGTCTGTTCAATAATATTATGCATTTATACACGTATTGTATTATAATATGATTGATGAATATAGTTTAAAACTTAATACTAATCTATAAGCAATATGCGTGCTATTAAAGTACAATTTCTCAAAAAATCTACTATTTTTATTTTAAAATTATTTTTCATTTCACCAAGCCCTCTTTTATTTTTGTTTGGACTTGTATTTATAATATGTGTATACATTATACATAAAACATATTATAGTAAACGATACTCAATTATCGGAGGTCGTATTATGTCCATGTATTCAAATTTAACGCAATTAGATCATTGGAAGAGTTAGTAAAGGTGATTTAGAGGCCAAGCAATACAAGACTTAGTCACATTATGTGTAATACAAGGGCCGTAGAATTCAACCTGTTTATTATTTTTGTTATTACTTTTAGTAATCGCTCAGTTCATGACTTTTAAAAATAACTTTACAACTATTATATATAATAACATATTAATTCATCATGCATTGGCGTTATTATTATAATTATATAATTAATATACGATTTATCAACCTTTTCTATTCTTTATAGTCATATCATGTTTTACTTTAACTTGTTAAACTTCCAAATCTAGAACAAGACAAACTATAATATTGTTAATTATTACATTTTAGTCCTATTGTAAATGTGTATTCCAATACATTATAATTTTAATTTAAACAAACATTATCATTTAACCTAATTTACTGTTTATTAAAAGTATATTTTTATATTTCATAAAATTAAAAATATTATAAAGATTGTGTTTATGTATTCTGGTTAACTTCGTCTCATTGAACTATTTGAACTTAACTAATAACAATAATTTCTGCTGAAATATATCATTGTCCATCGGGTTATCAAGTTTGTCATACAACATTATTTAAGAAAAAATAATAATAAGTGCTATGCAGCAGTAACTAGGCCTACCTTAGTACCTTATGAAACAAAGATGTAGGTCAAGCCGCGCAGCTGATGCGAGCGAAATCTAACGAATGAAAATTAAGACGTTCTTTAAAATATCGTCGACAAATCTGCTATGTAATGTACTCACTTTTTCTACATACTTATGATGATGTAATGTAATCCAACATCACAAAATATTCATAGATCATTTTTGTGAAAGAACATCATTTAATATTTAAGGGTAAAAAAGAATCCCTTTAATAAAATAATATAAAAAACGATTTACGATAACAATAACAATGTCAATGTTAAATAATACAAGAAGTGAATAAATACATGATGTATAACATTGAAAAAACTGTACTTTGTTTAATAGAGGATACAAAGACGACAACCATAATACGTTATATAAATGATAATTCGAAAAAAAAATAATTCGTTTTTTTATATCGTTTAGATTATATTTTTAAATATTAGTTCAGTTTAATAAATAGTTTTAGTTGTATATATTGACATACTATGAATACCGTAATGTTTATATTAGTGCCAACGGAACATTCTAAACCTTCTTACCTATACGTACCTATAAATCGCGACTACATAATAATATCCAGATGAACCAGACTTCCTTGACGGAACAACACAATTATAATTCATTAAATTAAAAAAAAAAAAATGATCATACTGTATGGTATAATATATTATTTAATAAATAAAAATATAGTTACAAGGTTATTCACTCTTTCTATTTTGTATGCTATTTAATTGTTTATTAAAAATATATAAACATTAAACACCCAAACCATATGAAATGCATTTATGAAGTAACAATTAAAAATGAAATGAAAATGAAATTTAAGCTTAAAATAAAAATAAAATACTTATTATTGGTCAAGGATTACATTTCAAATAATTATCAAATGAGAAAATGAAAGATACTATATAGAATAATTATTTTACTAATCATGTTTTGTTAGGTAAATTTATAACGTAAATTATAACTTAATTTAACAATTTGTTAATTTTATTGAAAGTAATTAATGAAAATTCTAAAAAATATAAAATTTAATTTAATGTGCAAAAAAACTATTAGATAAATAATTTAAAAAATGTTTGATGTATAATATGGTTATAATATTATAACAAATCATATCAAAACATCAATAGGACAATAAGTACTTTAGTTGTTAACAAAATTTAAGTATATTTTCAATTTTTAAATATTTTATAACAAATACGTATAATAACTTCAGAATTATTATACATTTAATTATTATTTATTATACAGTTTACCATTGTTTTTATGAGTATTTGATTATATAAGTATTGTTGTTTATATTACATTTCATCAAAGTTTGGATGTTATGAGTTATGACATACTTTTATATAACACAATTAACTACTTAACATTATAGTAAGTAAAAACTAATAATATTTTATTAGTAAATTGGTAACATTATAAAGACAAGGTTTTACTTTTAATGATAATAAAAGTAAAAATATAACTAGCCAAGCCAACTCATTCCCATATTTTCCTTTAATAATGTATTTATATTTTATAAAAATAATGATTATTGAGTATTTTAATTTTTAAGTATACTTAAAGACATATTTTTAAATACTTACATTTAATGCAATTTAAAGAGTATATTGTATACATTTTTACGAACAATTTTTTTTCAAAATGGTATTATATATATAAATAAAAATCCGAACCATTAATGTTTCTGAATTTTTAAACTTAAATGATAATTTAAAAATGATCGTCTATGATATTAGGTTTAAGATTAGATAATATGGGTTGTGATTATTTAAAAGTTTCTTGTAATTTATTATTTAATAATATTGATCTATAAAAATTTTATTATTTGTAAAAAATTTTAAGTATAATAAATGCTAAACTAAATATATTAATATTTTAATTAATCATGATATCTTCAATACATTAAGTTAATAGCTCAGAAACTATACGTCCAAACATCAATTTACATTCTCCTAAATTTTCAAAAAAATTAACAATATAAAAAGTAGTTCTTGTCTGAAAAAATGCATTGCCATAAAATAGGTATTCTTTAAATAGTATTAACGTCAATATATTTAAAAATTAAGTCCTATATCCATATTAAAAAATAAAAATCCCAAAAATCATAATTTGAATCAATTCATTATTATAAACGATAAATAGTAGATGAACGTTGCCACTGACCGTGCTTGATGAATCTCCCTGTATAGCAGTATTTTTTTATTGAACAGTTTTATTTAAGCTGCACCAAAACCATAAAGTATGTTACTACAGCACCTAGAACCTGAAAAGCAAATAATTTCAATAAATTATAATTTGTACAATATTATTATATTATTTCAATTCACAAAGTAAACAAAATTTGTTAATAAACAAAAAATATAAGCTCGAAAGGTAAATAATAAAGTAAGTAAGTAATAAATTTGTCTTACTGATGCAAATAAATCCAATGAAACATTGAAAAATTTTGCCCCGGACACAATTAAAGGCTTTTGACACTGTTGGCACACTATTTGTACGAATGTTTTAGCTTCTTCAGATCCATCGTACCACTGGCAACCGTAAGCCGCTTCCATTACTGATGAACTCTAAAAATAATTAAAATATATACAAAAACCTAAATGTCATTGAGATGTGTATATATTGTAAATATAAAGTATAATAGCCAATAGACGTATTAATAGATACATGATTATTACACAATTTTGAAAATCTAAATTCTCCCATTCTACTCAATGTATTAAAAATGTAGCTAATAATTAAGAAAAATAGCAATATCATCTTAAACGTATACTAACTTCTTCAATGAGTTCATTTCCATGTATACAAAACATAAATATTTGAGCAAAAGAATACATCAAGTATCCAATGGTAGAAAACGCAAACACATTAACTCCGTTAATCTGTTAAAAATGTTATAAATGAATAATAAATGTGATATCATGTGAAAAAATTATTTTTTATAATCGATTACTAATGTATTACATACAAATATGTCGTCTACTATTGATATTAAGATTTTGTTGATATGTATTAAAATTTTTAAATAATTTCAAGTTGATATCAAAAATGTTATAATGAAACAAACATAATAATGGTAATATAATTACAATAGTCAATGGATAAGCAAAATATTTTTAACCGTTTAAAACATTAACTGAGACTTAAGATAAACCAGTTTAGAAAAATTAATACACTAATATTTTATCGAATAGTATAAACTATATAATTTGAATATCTAGCAAGATAATTTTATGAGAAATTTGGACAAACCTTGGTTGCTTGATATGCGAGAATAGTGAGAATGACAGTGCTCACCAACATGTGAAACAGAAGAGCCGAACCATAGCAATCAGTAATTAAACTCACGTATCTATAAATACAAATTAATACATTTTAAATTGTTTAACGCTTTCAACAAACATCACTAGTTAAATATTCATACTTGACAATATGTTTATGTCGCTCTACCCAGTATTTAATTGCTGATCGAACAAGTACTTCTTGATTACTAGTTAAGTTATTTGGTCCTTTTCTATTTGGTTCAGTTTCTCCTTTTGTTCCATACTCGGTAATCTCATTCGCGTAGGACCCATTGTAATCTATTTTTAATTTTTTAATTTATCTTTAATTTACTTGGTTATTAAAAAAAAAAAACAATATGATTATCGGTTTATTTTTTATATGTTTATTTAACTTGAAATAAAAACACATTTAAATATATTAAAAACTTTTATTTCTCTACAAAATAACTGTTGTAAAACTGTCCTAAAAACAGTACCCAGATATTTTCCAGAGTGACTGTTTTCCCAAAAGATCGTTTTAATAAATCATACAATCAATAAAGAAGTTTAAAAAACAACAGAGATTTTTAATTTTTAATTTATTTTTTTAAATAAAATTCATGAACATTACGTGAATTTTATATTTGCATATATCTGCGAAATATTCAGTATAGTATGCTTGCATATTAACGTAAAAAAGTCAACTTTTAAATACGATGTTTGTTTCTCAGTATAATGAATTTAAATACAATTTTTTTTTGTATATTTTTACATTTGTTAAATTTTGAGATTTATAAGTGAATATTTTAATTACCTATTTAAGTTTAGTTAATTTTTATGTAAGTACTTGTATTTTAACTAAAAGTATCATCTATTACAGCTTTGTTAGGAAAATTATAAATTACATAAATCACTAAAAACCTTTTACGTCTACCGATACTATAGCATAACCGCAGAAGTTTTACATTTTAAAAACTCATAAAGCATTCAATCATTCAATCATAAATAGAAATTTTTAAGATAAATAGTAAAACTTAGTTATTGAAACAAAGTCATAGTAATTTTTTTTTTTTTTTTTTGTCAGAAAGTCTATTGTAAAAAGAAAAACTACCAACTTCAAATTAAACAACATTTAAAATCTAAAAACCAAATTCATACAATTTTTATAACAATAATTTAAAAATAATAGACAATAATACCTATACTAAAAATATATTTTTTTTAATTTTAAAAGCGTATTTGAGTGGAATAAATTCTGAGGCCTGTAATCATAAACATTTTCTATGCATTTAAAAAATTTTACCGACAATTATAATTAATACCCATTACCTAACAAAAAAACATTATTAATTTCATTATGATAATTATAATATAAATAATAAATGAAATAAATTTGTGACTTGTAGTTGCTGTGATTTCTACTTCTAGATTAAATAAAAATAATTATTATTAAAATATTATTTACACATTCTACTTTTTCAGTATAAATAATATATTATTTTTTTATCTTAATGATAAAACTTTTGACTGTTTTAAGAACAATTTTGAAGTGTTTGAAAGTTCTAAACGTTTAAATAATACGATTCAATTACCTATAATAAGAATATTAACATTTAACATTTTAATGTATAATGATGTAAGAAATTAAATTAATTACAGTCAATTTAATATGGGTATGAGCATATTTTATTTTATTTATTTTATTCATACAAATATATACATAAGTATGATTATTCATTTTCACGTTGCTTAAAAGTATAAAAATAAACATTATTAACATTATTCTTTTAAAATATTTTAACCATAGGTAACTATTTACTTTATAAGTATTTTATTAAACTCAAGAACCATTAACAGGTATGAATAATAATGATTAAATTATAGTTATTTATTCCATATACCAACTATAAGTACCTACTTTTATATAAAGTCAATACCATATTAATCCACTTATTAAGACAAATACATATTTTGTCTTTAACGTCGTTCAAATTTTCTTTATGCTTAAAATTATATAGTTTTATGAAATGCCTTTGTGTGATGTACACTCTTAGTTCTAATTATTTTGTCTTTACTAATTATTGGTCGTTTATTTAAATATTGATTCATTAAATATAATCTTTAGTACTTTGTTATTTAAATTATTCTAAATTGTTTTTAAAATACAGTGTTTTAATTTTAAATGTAAATTATTAAATGTTAAACTTGAGTCAATTTATCTATATTCTTCACATGAAACTTTTTGAACTGATCGTACAAATTTGGTTAGTATAAAATTCATTTTTTTTTCAATAATTTTGAAGATAATTAATATTTTTATTTTCAATTACGCAACAAATAATTATATTTTCTTTTTTAAAATTTTTACAACATATTGTATATTAGTATATCACTGTTAATTTTTAATAATTCAAAAATTATTAATCGTAGAAACTTGAATCCTTCTACTTTAACTATAATTTTCTATATGGAATGAAACGTTCAAAATATTTAAATTTCTAATTATCACCTATTTAAAGCAATTTTAAATACGTATTAAAAAAAATGAAATTATGATAAAAAACTAAAATAAAATAAAGCCAAAATTTTTTAAAATGTAATACAAGATCCCACACATATGTTTTTTCTCGTAAAAGTTTATAAACATTAAAATAATTCAAGTACAAATTTATTTAAACTTTGGTTTTCAACAAATTTCGTTAAAATCGTGAAAATTAACAAACAAAGTTAAATTTTTTCATTTTTTAGACAGAGTTTGAAAATTTAATTCAAAATCATTCAAAAGTTATTTCTACAAAAAATACAAATATACAATTTTTTTATAGAAATGTCAAGTTAAACTTTAATTTATCATATTTATATAACTTATAGAAAAATAAATTATTATTATAAAATATAATATATTATAATAAAATATAGTTAGAAATTTAAACTGATAGATTGTCTTTTTTCAGAATCATTATTTGTAAATGATCTATGATTTAATTCAAATTCAACTCATAATATTACAGTGACTGTCGACTGACTCAATAACTAACTACACTCGACACCTATAATACAATGGTTTCACTGATTTTTTAAGTGAATTCTTTATTTTTATAAGGTATTCCAAAATAATCATCAGTATAAACTAATATTGTTATTAATATATTATTCGATTTGATAAGCAATAACTTACCGGCACCATTGATTGATTGATTTTTAGCTGAATTGGCACGAAATATTTCAGCAGGATTAGTAACTGCTGAATCGAGAGTAGCACTTATTTCAATCAATGGATTTAAAATCTCTTTTAAATGTTGAAGTTGTTCACATGCATGCACCAGAAATGATGAGAATAAAAGTTCCAATAAATTTGAGTGACTGAGCGTTATGAATATCCAATAAAACTAAATGGAAATTTCACATTTTTTTTAATTACTTTTAGATATTCATTTTTAAAAATTACTGACAATTTAAGAAAAATGTATAGTTTAAGGTATTTAAAAAATAAAAATATTTTTTTTTAGTAAAAAATTGACAACATTTATCAAATTTAACCTTATTCTAAGGTTATTTAACTAAACTAATACTTTTGGGTTTCATGGTTTAAAATGTATTGCATTTCTCGTTTAGTTCATTGATATCTTATTAATTATTACACATCAATCAAACGTCGGTGAAATACTAAATATTTTAATAAATTTATCCAAATAAAAAATAATAGTTAAATCTTTTAAACAATTTTAAAATTGTTTTTAATTAATATTCATATCCTACCCTTTCAACTAATCACCAAGAATATTCATAAATGTTTTATAAATAATATTTTTCTTGCATTTAATTTAATCACATTGAATATACCTGCAATACAAAAGCCACAATATAACCTAATCCGTGACTCGAATTCCAAGGATACCAAGAATGTAACATCAAACGGGGTACTGGAATATACATTGTTTGATTAAATGTTTCAGGATCAGGAACCTTCCATACGCTTTCCCCAAAGAAAGTAATAGTAGTCCAGCTGATTGTTGTGAAAACTGTAACTATTGACACAATAATCAACAGTTGTCGCATTCGAGATAACGACTTTGCGTGAAATCTGAAATGTAAAATGCCACAAAATAAATATTTTATTAGGTAGGTATATAGAAAATTTTACATGTTACTGTATTATTTATATAAATGTTCTAAATTTTTATATTCATATTTATTGTACTATAAGCGTACTGCAATATTGCATAAATCATTTAATTATTTATTTTACCAAACATTTATAAATATAATTCTCTTTAAATATAGAATATTAAAAATAATATTGAAGTAATCATTATTGTATTAAAATATTATTAAGTCGATACCTATTAAAAATTTATTAATTTTGGGGTCAAGTTAGGTTATAAAATTTATGTTATATTACATTAATAAGATTTTTATGGCATTTAAAGAAGAATTGTCTTTTTTTGATATTTATTTTTTTTAAATAACCTTAATTTTTACTTTAAATGTATTATTAATCAGATGATTTGTTTAAACATTTTAGCACGCTTAAATCAAAATTTAAACAAGTAGTTTTTGAGTTAATTAATTATATGTATTAGGATAATTATTTTAATAGTTATGTTATAATTTTGTATATCTAGAAAAGCTTTTCCTGCTAATTTCTAATAAATAAATAATAATCCTTAATAAGGAATTGTAATTGATGTAGGTACCTACTGATAATACTCAAATATTTTTTTACCTGTTTACGTTTTTACAATGAAAATCAAAATTTTTTAAATTGTCTGAGAAAGTTTTTATTTGAAAAAAAAAGTAGCTATTGAAATTTGATAATTCAATATTTACTTAAGATTGTAAAAATCAAAAGTTGAAAATATGTATGATTCAAGATAAAAATGAAAGTGAGGATTTTTGGTGGAATTACCCAGTATAAAAAATTAGTTTGACATTTAATTTAAATATACCTATATTATCCAACATTATATACACTATTTTAGCTTAATTTTAGTGTTGAAATACTACCTTTAGGTTAGGTTAAAGGATTTAATCGATTTTAATATATTATACTGGATAAATATATGAGTATTTAAAAAAAATGTATAATAATAGTTTTGATGTATTTGAAACTAAAATTTAATTTACTTTGAAAAAAGAACAAATTATTTTATAATATTACGAATATTAAACTTGAACATTTAAGTAAATTGTACATATTATCTATACCAATATTTATTAAATTTTAATAACTGCCGTTTGGATGTAATCGGATATCTCACTTTTTAAATTAATCGAGTAATTTTCATATTTTATAGATAACATTTTATGAGTTACTATATATTATCTATTAATTTATTCTCAATCAAATAACTTATTCCTAATTTAATTTACCTTGAATGAGATTCTGTAAATAAAGGATGAGGAGAGGTGTTGTTCCAAAAACTTAGTGTTCTGTAAAACGACTTGGTACCCGTGCTGAAATACATAAATTTGATCATTGAATGGGTGAAAAACAATGTAGTTACCACGCCAGCAGCTAACTGATCCGAATCGTTGGATTTAGTGACCATAAAAATCACGATAAATAAGAACTGTGAATAAATTATTATTGTGGTAATCCAGCTGTAAATCTTTCTGAACAGCACGGCCAATCCAGAATAATCATCATAGTACTCGGATATGAATAGGCCCGACATTTGTATTAATCGAATATTTGGCCATAGATCTTTTATAAGACCGTCTTTCTTATAACCCATGTCTGAAAAACCCAAAGGAATTGTTAAATAACCAATAAAATAAAATTTCTAACAATACGAAATTGTATTATCTGTGACCCATGTGTTCAAATGTATACTAATGTAAACTAACCGTTGAGTAGAACAAGTACGTAATTTGTTATTTCATTCATAAGTTCAATAAAATCATCACAAAAATTAAAATTAAATCATTTTTCTAAATAGGTTGTTTAATTATAAAAAGCTTTTTTTTATGATATTTAAGCACTTTACATAATCTTTTAATATTAATATATATACAAGCGCTCGAATTACCTATAGACCATAAATGTTTAAAATTATAGAAAGATTATACTAAGCTCAAAGATAAAATAATTTTACTATTACCCATCTATGTTCTATGCTTATTCCTAATCATGAACTAAGAAGATCTTCTTAATTCATGATCCTAATGTAGTAAATGGCTATATAAACGTTTATAATTGCAACTATATAAATGTATTATCTTTATCTATACCTATTAGATAGGTATTTTTAAAATACAATTTTATAAATCTGGCAATGTGTTTTAATTAAATACAAGAAACTTTAGCTTACATTACTATAGTTAATTTTCATAATATATGCATATGCGTAAAAAATATTATTTAATAATTAATAACATAAGTAGTAAAATTTTGTATACAAATAATAAGGGATTACAAATTAGATTAATACAATTAAACTTTCTATCAGTTTTAATCCACAGCATTAATAACTATACAAAATCTATAGATTCCTTAATGTTTAGAATAAAATAGTTATTATATCACAACTAAATATTTTATACAAATTATATGTAATAATATAAATGGTACCTATTTTCAGATATTGTATTGAATTTTGATACTGTGCAATTTATTGTTCAATTAAATAGCTTTAACTTGTGCGTGATAAATATGTTTTTTTTTCAAACACTAAAAATAATTAGTCTTTATTTATGTTTAAGTATGCTTGTTCGTATATGTATATGTAAAACAATTCATTTAAGTATAATCATATCTTGGTAATGCATTTTATAATCACCTGTTTACGTTATGTGTTATATAATATATATTTTATAAATCATCAATGTCATAAATCAATCACTCAATGTACTTTTCAATAGTGTAAGCGAAAGAAAAATAAAATTATCATTTTGCAAGTATCATGTATAAGTTTATATATATTATATTTATATACTGCAATATATACCTTATACCTATCATATATATATATATATATGTATATTATAAAGATATATTACATATATCTTAATAATATAGTTTTAAAATTTACAATATCCATACGTCATTTAGTATTTTAGTGATATAAATTATATGTGTTTAAATTAAAATACGCACAAACAAAATTTTTCGTAAGTGTATAGTTTCATGAATTTAATTTTTGTATCTTAGGTTTTTTAACTTAAGTTATTATAATATATTATAATCATTATTTAAAAGTCATTGAACATAATAAAAATAATACAATATTAAAGTTTCTTTTGAATACACAACACACATGAATCATTTTCAAAACTATACAATACACTTATAACAATTACAAATAAAAAACTATTAATGTTATTTGGAACAGTGACCAGTGTATATAAATTATGTACTTACCTTTCTTTTTATTTCAATATATCAACAACGTATATTTGTGTGTTGAAGTTCTTGAGTTTTGAGTTAAGACTTTCTCCATATACCAACGTAATTAGTTAAGTCTTGATTCCAGATTCTAGAAGAGTCACAATAATACTAAAGTATAAAAGTATAAATGGCATAACATAACTTATATTATGGGGTCATAGAATGGGTGGACTTATTGCCATGACCTACCTAGTAAAAGGATGATACCATTTTAAATATTTAGTAGATTTCTTAGTGACTTTTCCCATATAAAACGTTCGTGTATATATATTAGACTCTTGGCAAACCTATGACTATGGTAATTATAGTTCATAAAACACAGTATTTGGTCACGAAAATCAATAACTTCATAACTTATTTAACATACTACGTTATAATCGTATACAATAATAAGATATATAATGTACATAATAAAAATTAAGCTAAGCATTTTATTAGTCTTATAGTAATTACTAAGAATATTTTAGATTTTTAACTATTGATTTTACAATGACGTATCTATTGGTTTATATTTTTATTTCTTAAAATCGTATTTGGAGCAATAATACAAAAAGTGCCTTTACCCATTACCTCGAACCTTTTTTTCTTCAAAGAGTAACTATAAATATATATATATATATTAAAAGTTGAAAGTAAGTAACTGCTCTGCTATACAATATAAAAATCGAGTTTACCTTGTCATTGAATTGATTACTATGGGGGATGTGTTAAATTTTAAATCAATGATAAATCATACAGAGTACATACAATATACAATTCTGAGCTGAAGTGGTATCTACCAGCCTTTATTACTAATAAATGATAAGTTTATATCATTATGTAAAATATTATTATTTTATTACTTTATTATTTTTTTATATTGCTATAATATTAATTTATATTACTAAAGTAATGCGATAGACGTTAGGTGAGATAAATAGGAAATACTTGAAAAATAGCTTAAAATAAATCTTAATATTTTGAAAATATCATTAGTATGGTAATATGATATATGTAAACATTTCAAGTCATCATAAATATTTTTGAATAATAATAAAATATCTAAAATCTTCATTATCTTTATCTAAACATGCAATTACGTCAACATTGAAAATTTAACCTCAGAAATCGATAAAAAAAAAAGTTTAAAACTTTGACAACATTTTCGAATTTTTATATCATTATGAGATCAATAAATTTACAGAATCTACAAAATCACTCAATTATATGATTAGTTTTAATAAATATGATGATCTTCAACTTATTTCAATTATTGCAGTATTCGAAAAATTATTCTAAACAAAGCACTGTTGGATTAGCATATTATTTCCAATGATAATTAATGCTATATATTATATTGATTCGGTTATAATTTTTTTAATATTCGATAGATTGAATTATTATTTGTGAAAAATGTAATACTTATAGAATTCAATACCAACGTACTTATTCTTTGAATATACTATATAGGTTCATGGTATAAATGGATAAAAATAAAATAAATATTTTGAAATTTCATTGTGTTTAAAAACTATAATAATATATTATTATATGTTCTAATGAGTATTGGTAAATGTTAAAAGTAATGATAAAGAAATAATAATAAACTATGAAACTTGTTTATTATTATTTGTGTAGTACAACAGTAAAGAGGTAAATGAAGAGATCCGTTAACACAGTACAATTTTAGAGAAATTTAGTGGGTAATGTACTATTAGATAGTATAATATTATTATTGAAATTAGAAATAATGAAGGATAAGATGGTTTTATCTTAATAGCCCGAGAATTGAGAATGAACGACGTCGTATATATTTTTATTCGGAAAGTGGTGGTTTAACTGATTAATTTTATGGCTCTTTAGGATAGCTTTGTACATTGGATCTACTTTGTAATAAGAAATGCAATCACCTCCACATAAAACTTAAGTTTAAAACATAAAATAACTATAAGAAAAAATAATAATAATTTAAAATTAAACCATATAAAAAAAATATTTATATAAATATTTGATGAAAATATAAACATATAATGATTCTAATGTCTATATTTATTAAGTTCTGAATTAGAACAAAATAAATTTTGTCAAAAACGGTCTTTACTTTTCGTTTTCATACTTTGTTTTGTTAGTTTTTCACAATTACTAAGAAACTTACTAAGAATCACTCAATTTTTATCTCTTAAAATATCAACTACAGATCAAACTTATAGATCAAAATTACTACCATAAACCACAATTAAAGTTTTTGAAAAAAATTGTCTGCTCTAATAGGTAAATGTGGATCAATATAAAAAAAATATTAAAAAATCAATCCATTCATCGTTTTACTAAGAATCTTAAACACGTATAACACAATTTTAAATATATAATCAAGATTTTGTTTTTATGATCACTTGTATTACAGATACATTTTTCATAATTTCTAACTAGTTTTCTAATATTTAATACCTAATTTATATATTTATAGTGTTAATTTAAAAAATTTATCGTTGATGGGATATCCGCAGTTACATAGATTCAAAAGGTTTCAAAGATGCAATTTTAAATAGGCTATTTTAACAAATTCTCTGTAGTTTTTTTTACTGAAAATTTTTTTTACAAAATAAAAATAAATGCTTTAGATATGTTTGATATAAAAACATAAAAAAAAAAAATAGGTTGAAGTACCGATTAATCCTTCAAAGATAAGACGATACTATACAGCATACCACATTATTTGTAATTGTAATTATGCCAATAAGTAATAAGTAAGAATTATAGACTTAAGTTGTATCTCACTCAGATAAGATATCAGGAAAAACTTTGTTCAGAACATTTATCTTTTAGTCAGTTGAAATAAAGACATTTTGATAAAAAAAAATGTAACAGCTATATTAGATTTAAATATTTCTAATATCAAATAAAATAACGATAGACTTAATTATTTCATCAAAATATAATATTAAAATAAATTATCAATTTATGCTTCTTAACTTAAGTATTTTCATAAGCTCCAGAGTAGGTTAGGTTAGGTTAGGCATATATTCGTATCTATACTATTTATGTAATTTACTTATTATTATTTTTAATATTAATATTATCAAATAATAAAGAGCTAAAAATAATATTATTCTGTGAGTGCTTAAAAAGCAAAATAATATTGTTGTTATAATTAAATATAAAACATAAGTCCAGTAACAACAATAGCTTTCTAAAAAAGATTTTATCACGCAAACTGACTAAACCTTTAATAAACAAGATCATAGATTAAATCCGATTATTCTAAATTTTCCAAACTCTAGGTTATTGTCTTCATATTTCCATTAATTATACTTTTATGTTACAGCTAGGCTGTAGATTTTACTTTTTAATGAAGCAATGAATAAAGTTAATATCGTTTATTAATAAAGTTTTTATCTACTTTGAAATTAGAATAATCGTACAATACAGTTTCGAGAAGAGTGTATAATAGTAAATAAGTGTAAATAAAAATGAAATAAATTTATAAGATATTATATCCAAATTAAAAGACATTTAATATTAACTATTTGATATGGTTCCCCAAAAATATTTATCTTAACTGTACATTTATCTAGCAATCGATAATATTAAATATCATAATTTAAATTTTTTTATCATACTATGACAAAAAGATAAATTAACTAAAATAAATTGAATTGGAAAAATATTAATGAAATTTGCATAAGTTTTTAAATTTATTCTTGAATTAAATAAACAAATATTTAAATTAATTGATTTACAAACAAAAGCTCTAACATTAACGCATATCAAATCAAAAAATTATTTTATTTTCAGAAATATATACAAATATACAGTGTGATCACGTTAAGTGGAAACACTCAATAACTATGTGCAGGCTTCATATATTTCAATTCTGCTTTTTCGGCTAACTAATAAACATTATTATACACATTTTCAAATAATTAGACTATTTTTTTGACAACTAATTTTGCGCATGCGCACAATAACTTTTTTTTTTTTAAATGGCATGATCCATTTTTGACCACAAATTATTTTTTTTGGTATTTTTTAATGAATTTTAGTGGTTGAATTTCTTTTCTAAGTCAAAAATTGACCGAGTTATAGCAATTTGCTTTTATGTTATTTGCACGGGTATGAAATACGTAGTTGATAATAATAAATACGTAAATAATAAAAATAAAATTACAAATATTGATTTTTTTTATTCATAAAAGTTTTATTTATCTAACAAATTGTTCAAACTGTGCGCCATGGTGCTGTAAACAACATTCAACACGAATTAAAAATTCTCTGTTAATAGCAGAAATAATTTGTTCCTCTGTAATTTGATTACATGCAGCAAGTATTTTATTTTTCAACTCAAGAAGACACGTAGGTGGATTGGCATACACTACCGTTTTCAAGTGACCCCATAGGAAGTAATCTAGTGGTGTAAGATCTGGTGACCTTGGTGGCCACTGAACTGCTCCATAAGTCCCTATCCACCGATTTGGAAAATATTCATTGAGCATAGGTACCAGTAATGGTTCAAATTAAGACATTTTTCACAGTCGATATTATTCTGCAGTAAGTGCTAGAAACTAATAGGAAATAAAAATCGATATTTTGTAGTTTTAAACCAAATTTAATACTTATCTATTAGTTATTATGAATAATAATTCAGAAAAAGTTGACATGCTTTTTACATATTGGGAATGCCAAAAAAATACACGCCTTGTCAAAGAAACCTATGCTCTTCGTTATCCAAGTAACTACTCGTATGATTTAACAATAAATTTAATTTTCTCTGCTTAATTTCTCATAAAATAAATGCTCTTTCTTATTTATAAATTCAGATAGGCAGCATCCATCACATACTTTTTTTTTATAAACTGGAAAAAAATTTGAGACACCGGTTCTTTTTCCAAACGAGTTATTAACCAACAACCAAGACGAGGAAATGCTATTGGAGAAGATATTGAGGTGCAAATACTAGCTTACGTGAAAGCAAATCCTAGGACTTCTATTCATCATGTTAGTAGAGAAATAAATATTTCATTTGGAGTTGTTCAAAAAATTTTGAAAAAACATAAAATGCACGCTTATCGTGCCGATTTAGTTCAACATTTACGTGAAGGTGAC